ACCTTGCGCAGGTTGCAACGTGATCTTTAGTCCCTACACAGTGAAACTCTTCTTGCCAGATCAGTTCATGTCTGTCTCCAAAGTGAGTGCCTCTCAAGATATCCACAGCTTGGCCACACTCTAACTCATTACATATAACAGAGGCAGTTTTGAAATTAATGTGTGAAAAACAGACTGTAGCCCAGGTTTCTTTTTGCTTTACTTTCAGATCTCCTGAGCAGGCAGTGTCCCCTCCAGTCAGACGCAGCCCAGAGAAACCTGGAAAAAAAACCCAAGAAATCCAGCATCAAGGATTAGTTGTACTGACCTAATTTAATAACTCCCATATCTTCATGGACAACACACATGCCACTTTTCTGAGGACTACTGACACATTTAAATAACCATTGTGGCAATTCCTGTGTGCCACTGACAAGAGAGAAAATGGTGTGTGGGAATGCTTGTTTCTTAGTATGTGAAAATACTAAATCCTTGAGAAGCTACAGAAGGAGGGAAGTTTTGAACATTTGCCAAATGCTTGAGAAGTAGCAATCCCCAAATAAATAAATAAATAAATAGCCATTTACTAGTGTGTGTCCTTGAGACTTCATTATTCAAATTAATAGGAAGCTGAAGTGCCCCAGAAAGAGGAAAGAAGAAATGTTGCACCCATCTTCAGAAAAGACTAAAAAGACAGTTTGGAGATCTACCAGCTTTTCAGCCTCACCTTGGTACCTGGGAAAAACATAGAGTGAGTCCTCCTGGAACACATTTCTGGGCACCAGAAGGTGAATAAGAAGAGTCAGCTTGGATTTACCAAGGGTAAATCATGCCTGTGTGGCCTTATTACTTTCTCTGATAAAAGTGGCTGGATTTGTGGATGAGGGGAGACCAGCGTGTGTCATTTACCTCACATTTAGCAGGGCCTTTGACACTGTCTTGCACAATATTCTTGTGTCCTAACCCTAGTTATGTTACAATCTGGGTGGGTGGACAACTACATGGTTAAAAATGGATGGTCAGGCCCTCTACCTGGAGGCTGGCAACAAGTGGAATCCCACTTGTTGGGTCTTTCCTGGGACCTTTTCTGTTCAGCATCTTTACCAACAACCTGGAGGAGGTGATGGAGTGCACTCTTATCAGTTTGAGAGGTGGGGGGAAGTAACCCCAAGGGCAGAGCTGCCATTCAGAGGGATCTAGACAGGCTGGATTAATGGGCTGACAGGAACCTTATAAAAATGAAAAAGGACAAATGTAAAGTCCTGAAGCTGGGAAAGAGAATCCTCTTGCAATGGTACTTTATCCAAAGAGCAAAACCAAGCGCATCTTGCAGAGGAAGGCAGCCAAATAGACATTGGATTTGTTTGCTGTTGCAGACTGTCCTGTCTTAGCTTACATGAAGATCTGGAGAAGAAGGGCAGTTGTATGGCATAACACAGCATTTTCTTGCTTCTCCATCTACACCTGCTTTTTTAGACCCCATTCCTGGCCAAAGACAAGTTTATTACTGCTTTCCTGTTGCCTGGGAGAGCTGTGGTAGAAACAAAGAGTGTTTCTTTTTCTGTTCTATGTCATTTACTATGTCTACTTCCATTCTATGTCATTGCTGTGCCCAGGCAAAGGGGACATACACTTGTAGTCAGCAGAAGACTTAATGCTGGTGCAACTTGCTTTGGCTGAGTGAAGGCCATGGAGAAAGTGTTACCTCTATATAATACTTGGCTTTATCCAGCTAGGACAAAGTTTGATCTCAGCCTTGTAGCATTTTACTGTTACACAAGGTTGCATGACTTCTCACCTGAGCAGATCACTCCAGTATCAAAGTAATGAGGGCAGGTAAAAGCACCCCATCCTCTATGTGAGCAGTTCCAGAGAGTGGATTCATCACCACGGCAATGGACTCGATACAACCATGTTGGTCCAGATCCTTCTCCAAAAGGAGCTCGATTAAGGGCCTGAACAGCAGATCCGCATTGTAGTTGCTTACAAACAACCTCAGCATCCTCTATGGTCCAGTCACCATCACACACAGTTCCCCACTGCTCCTCATGTTTTACGTCCACTCTCCCAGAACAGGGACCAGTTCCATTTGACAACCTCAATTCATCAGCACCTTCATACACAGAGACAGAACAAGGTTATGGAAAGGACAGTGCCTAATCGCGATTATGTATTGTAGAGAGATTATTATTAGTCTTAATTTACTCTTAAATCAGACTTACTCAGTTCACCTTTCTAAATAGTCCAACTTAAAGTTTTTTTGCAGGTAGTTGTGTCTGTGTTTACAAATTTGAACTAACCACACTACTAAAATGTAAGTTATTTCTAATGACAGGTGAGCTTTCTCTTCTTCTGACCTATCAGGGCTGGGAAATGCTGAGTAATGTCCCTGCTGTGTGATTCACAAAAACTTCAACAGAAACTCCTCCTTTCTCTTTGTTGTTCTGCCATGATGATAGCTAACTGAAAATGTTCACTGGGCACCAGTTTCTACATTTCTGTGTTCAGTATGGTGTGAAGAAGGAATTTCCCTTGTCTGCCTCAACTTCTTCCTCTCCGGCAAACTATTACTTGCAACTCAGTGTCCCAATACTCTTTATTTTTTCCCACCTCTTTTGCCCTAGCCACGGGGTCCCCTAGTCAGGGGTACCCATGAGAGAAGAGAATTACTCATGAGGGGTGGCAAGCTATCTCAGGAGATGCAGCAGCATAAGCAGAAGACAGACAGGGAGGTCTTTTTGCTGTTCCTCATGCCCCACCATCTCTTGGGGTGGGGCTGATGCCCAAAGAACCCTCTTTTCCTGCTTGGCTCCCAGGTCTGCCTCTTTCCTTTGGTATGGATACACATTTCCCAGTCCTTTTACCTGTGGACTCACAAAATAACATTATTTTGTTATAGTCATCACAAAGCACCTGATAAAGAGCCTGACAGAAGAGGGAATGATTGGTTTCTTGCTTTACAGTGTTGGACTGCTACTATAGGTGCTTCAAATATTATACAGTAGCTTATCAGAGGGACTTAAAGGCTAGAAAACACAGGGAGAATTTTGTTACATTCGAATGCAGGAATGATGGTGGGACACAGAAGCAGTTCTTAGGAAGTCAAGCTACACAAAGGCCTGCTAGGACCCAAGAAACACAGGGGAACAGGTCTGAGTCTGTGTCTTACACAGACACAGTAAACATTGGAAAAACTGAAGCAGGTAGCCTAAGATGTAAGGATACATAAAGGAAAAAAGTGGACTTGTTCAGGAATTGTCTTAAGTTTTTTTTTCCTGGTCAGGAGTTTTAAGGCAAGAGTTTTGGAACATCTGTTCATAAAAAAGATTCTTTGCTTGCAGAAAGGTTCATATCTGCTTGAGTAAAAAGCATACACAGACTCACAGAATCATAGAACATGTTAATATTCTTAATTGATGTAGACAATGATTTTCTGTAGATACTTGTGAAAACAAACGCTGAAACAAAAAAACCCCAAAACCTTCTGCCAAACTCCATCAAAACCAGTCACTGTTGTAATTAAACAACAATATGGATGGCATTCATTTGTTAGGTTACATGATAGAAAGCTTGTCTCCATGTGCAAAGAACAAAGGAACAATGGCAGGTGGGGGAACCCCAATAATCCAGTCAGGGTCCTGCCCTGACCCCTTCTAGGGCTCTCCCAGCAATGAGATCAGCCCCATTGTCCAGGTGTGAAACCCATCAGATGAATCGACATGAGGGCTTTCTGTGTCACTTTAGAGGTTGAGGGGGCTACTGCATAGAGGGTATGGGATACTCTATTGGATACAAGAGAACAGCATCTTGGAATTGCAGAAGGCTTATTATGGGGAGTTTAGGAGAGGAATGAAAGGTGGGGAAAGGGAGGGATCAAGGATGTTGGGGTAGGAGCAAGCATGGGAAAATAGAAGGGTAAGTGGATAAAAGGACCAGAGTCAATGGGCACAAACTGAAACACAGGAGTTTCCGTCTGAACATCAGAAGATACTTTTTTACCGTGAGGATGACTGAGCACTGGAACAGGTTACCCAGGGAGGTTGTGGAGTTAGCTTCCTTGGAGATATTCAAAAGCCATCTGGACATGGTCCTGACAACTGGCTCTAGGTGGCCCTGCTTGAGCAGGGGGGTTGGACCAGATGACCTCCAGAGGTCCCTTCCAACCTCAACCATTCTGTGATTCTGTGAAAAGCAGCCATTGGTGGGTAAGCAGGCTGCTGGTCAGTATTCTTGTCTGGCTATGCCCTGCACCTAATCAGCACTGTCCGTTGTGTCTTCTTATTAAAATCTATTTCTAACTGTTTTCCTGGGTGAGGTCACTCTATTCAATGTGCATGTGTGTGTATGGAGTTCTAAGTGCCAGCAACTGGAGCTGGACGACAGGTCATAGAAGCATGTGTCTTTGGTGCTGTACTGGTTTTGGCTGGGATAGAGTTAAATTTCTTCATAGTAGCTTGTATGGGGCTACGTTTTGGATTTCTCATGAAAACAGTGTTGATAACACAGGGATGTTTTAGTTATTGCTGAGCAGTGCTTACACAGTGGCAAGGTCTTTTCTGGACTCACACTGCCCCACCAGTGAGTAGGTTAGGAGTGCACAAGAAGTTGGGAGGGGACACAGCTGACCACAACTAACCAAAGGGTTAGTCCATACTGTATGACATTGTGCTCATCAAGACAAGCTGGGGGAAGAAGGAGGAAGGGGGGCACATTTGGAGTCATGATGTTTGCCTTCCCAAGTAACCATTATGCGTGATGGAGCCCTGCTGTCCTGGAGATGGCTGAACATCTGCCTGCTGATGGGAAGGAGTAAATGAATTCCTTATTTTGCTTTGCTTCTGCACACAGATTTTGGTTTACCTGTTAAACGGTCTTTATCTCAACCCATGAGTTTTTCTCACTTTTACCCTTCCAAATCTCTCCCCCATCTGTGACTGTTAACTCAACTCCGTCTCAGATTTTGGCTAACACAGCTCATGCTAAGGCCTGATGTATGCTGAGAGCAGCGCCATTAGGTCAAATCCAGAGCACCACATGGGCAGGACAGGTGCCCAGAAAGAGTTAAAGGGCCATTATGCAGCCATTATCACCTGCAGAGTGCTGGCTCCTGCAGCCAGTACCTTTTGTCTGGCAGTTTCTTCAGAATCTGCTAACTTATGGAAATGGTATAGACCAAACCTCCAAGCTGGAAGGTATAAAACATCAGCTTACCCAAAAAAACCTTGGAAGCAGATCCAACAGCAGCTAGACTGCTGAGGCGTGCATGATTCCAGGTGTGATACAGGGGATGCCTGCACTATGATGGAGGAAGGATGAGCACTCTCACCGTTCGCTAGGTTACTAATTATCTTTTTTTTTCTTGCTCATAGGTGCACAGATTAAAAGTTACGTGTTATAAGTTATGAAACCTTATGACTTGAATGGTGAATGGCTGATCAGATATGGCAGGAGCTTGCCAGATGGCAGGCTTCTTTTAAGTTAAATAAGGGAAAAGGGAAAGCTGTTATATGCTTGCTACTGGGCAGTTGTCTTAGAGCAGCAACAGGTATGATTGATGTGTTGAAAGAGGAAAATGTACAGTTGAAAAAGAAACATGGAGAAAAGGAAAATGGAAACATACTTGGAAGTGTAAGCAATTAGAAATGCAAAACAGACTGCTTGAGTCAAAACTTCAGCCCCAGATAATTGCAGAAGCTGAAGAGGTGGAGGAGCTTGTTGGAAACTAAAGTTTATTGTGCCATATATGATGGTGATTGGGATGGGGATATCTGGAAAGAAGCAGATTTGCATACCCTCCTCTCAGGGCAAGGTGGTAATGAGGATTCCCTGCCCCCTGCCCTCTTGGCACCAGTAATCAGGACTGACAGCAGAGCATGTCTGCAGGGGCACAAAACCTGCCTTTCTCCACAACAACGACTAGAGGGTTTAGTGCCCTAGAATTAAGAGATCTGGAAGAGAGATCCCCGACCGATGCTGGGGACACACTATCCATCCCGCTGAAGGTGGGGGGAGAAGCATGTGGCCCTCGAACTCGGCAGCCAGCCTGCAAACTGCCCTCCTGAAAACTGAATTAGAAGGACCAGCACCTGCTGTCCTGGGCACAGGACAACCCCCTCCCACAGAACTGAATTCCTGGGAGGTGATTTGTGAACCTGTACAATTCTGACCCATCATAAAGGGAGGTGAGGGGATGTTAAAATCTTTAGCTTTAGCCATTAAGAGAGGCTTAAACAGTATTACTTTCCAAGAGGTCCTTCAACATATGCTAGCAGATTTACCACTATACGTCCCACAGGATAAAAACCAGGGGAGAACCTCAGCTAAAGTAAAGGTAGTAGAAGAGAGGCTGCCTGTCTCCATGCAAAAGACAAAAGCAAAAAGGGGAAATTTGGAATCACCCTCGATCACTACTGAGCCTAAGAGATTATGGAAAGTGTGTTTAAATAAAGGGCTCTCTCCAACTCAGTTAAATGGGCTGCTAACTCCCCTTCTATGGCAACTGGACGGGTTTTCCTCATTCATTTCTCGTGATAGCCCTCTGGGACCTGTGTCAGGAGATGGGGGTGACACCATACGATTTAAAAGGATAACAACTAGCGAGCCAGAGGATCCAAGGGCTGTGAGTTCAGGGATATACCCAAATCTATCCACACTAAACCTAGACTGTGATTATGTGGGAAAAAAGGGGCAGGCCTCGGTTCAGTGGCAGTACTGGCGGCTGCTACACCCATTGCTAAGGATCCAAGTCCCAAGATGATGGCTGCAGTTAATGACTGTTACCTTACAACAGTCCTCATTGACACAGGCACCCCAAATAGTAATGGTAGATAGGCACAGCCCATGCTTAGCAAGCATTTGGTTTCTATTGTAGGTGTTAATGGGAGAATCACTACCCACCCACTCGTCAGAGCTGGACCCTGGCTGGTGAGGTGCCTGCCCTGCTAGACATGTTATCGCAGCTGGAGCAGCTGGCCCTTGCTGTACCCTCATACCAACTCTACAGCTCATGACTCATAGGAGTCACCTCTCCAAAGGTGACACAGTTAGCTAAGACAGCCACAATTCTTAGTGAGTAAGACTGCACTGGAAGCAAGAAAGGTATCAGAACCTGAC